GTGTGCAATATGTATTTAGCAGTATGAGAGTATATCCTAATAACTAGCAATGCAGAGGTGGGCACATAAGCACAATGTAACAGAGACCTCATTCAGCAAAACATTCTGAGAATGTGTCTTTTTAAAAAGGTTTTTCACAATCGTTTATGATAATATTGAGTCCTCTTTAATACTGTATCCTGAATAAATGTTTAAAGTTTGCTTCATGTATTTTACCTAATGGGACCAACATGAGCCAATAGTAAACATATTTAGTTACGTTTAATTAGTCATTTTCTTCCAGGAGCTAGGTGTTGGTTAATGGTTAATGTTTTAATGTGAAAATCCACTTCCTTCATTAAAAGTACTTCATTAAAATCCTATGATTGTCCTCAATGCCAAGACAATAGATAGTGTCAGTAATAATTGCTAAGCAGAATTTACTTAAACCACTGCTTGAATAATGCACTTATTGAACCCCCCTCATTGAAAATATGTAGTAAATAAGTAAGGATGGTCTCAATATTGCAAAATTATAGCGAGTAAAAACACACCATTCTTTATTTCATAGACGCAACTATGACGAAAAGTTAATGTTCATTTCAGAAATAAATAGAGGCTGCCATGTTCAAGGATGATATGAGTATTTCAGCTTGAATGAAAAAAATGTAATACTCGGGATAAATATGTAGAAAAAAGGGTGGTATTTTAGAAAGCGCAATGGGAGTCATTTAAAATAACATAAAGATGAGATAATGCACATTAAGTAGTGGGATTGATGAAAATATGCCCATGGCCAGGACCTGTACTTCTTGTGTACAAGAAGACATTTTGAAAGGATTGTGGCACCAAAGGAAAAGGTCTGAGAGTGACCAAACATTGTAAGATATAACCACAAATATCCAAAGCTTGAACGATTATGTTTAGTAAGCTTAAAATGACCTTGCGCTGTTGTTGTCAATTCTGTTTTCTCAAGACCTTATTATCAACCCTAGAGATCAAGATGAAAAGGCATCCGTGGCGTGTTCATTACTGAATAATATCCTATATAGAAGACAGGGATGTTTGCAGTGGCTTTTATTGCTTATGCTGATCACTATTATAACCAAGCCAAAGCGAACAGTCCTCTCAGATCAGAGAAGTATTCTTTCATTCCAAAATTCTCTGAACCAATCCATCCCAAGCTTATCTATGAACCAACTCCAGGGCAATAACAGTTGAGTAAATGAACAGACAGCGCATTGTTCCTCTGTGGCTCGTTGCAGCCTCACCTCTGCCTCTGCCTGCTTAATTAAAGGTTAATTGCGTAGAATAAGTACGCACCTCCCGCGAACACTCCACATTTCTCTCTCCATCCACTCACTGCCACATCTGTGTGAAGGATATCTGGAATTTATCAACTTGTTCAGGAAATGAGAACCAAGCTTTACCTAACTCAGTGTGTGAGCAGGTACAAAACCAACATATGGGAGTGTGTGGTGTGTGTTCACACATAATCATATGTACACACCACACACACACACACAGAAGAATTCAGCACTCCCTCTGTAATTTTTAATCAAGAATATGATCCCTCGTCCCATCTGGGTTTTCTGACTTGGTGGGCTGCAGCGTGCATACAACAACACACATGTTTAAGAAGGAGCTGAAAATCACACACACGCACAGATAAACACACACATCCATATACAAACACAGATAGATAATCTGTGGGGTTGCTGAAGCTGAGACCACCAACTGTATGCAGAGTTTTCCCTACACATCAGAACAAGCAGATGGTACCACTCGTGACACTAACACACACACACACACACACACACACAAATATATATATATACAGTATATGAAAAATGTTGTTTTCCAATCAACAATTTATCCCATGAAACTTAGCACAAAAACAAAGCAGTTGGAAAATGGTGGAAAAAAGTACTATATCGTAAAGCCTTATGTTTAGTGAATGTGTGTCTTTGTGTGTGTCTTTGTGTGTGTCTGTCTGCTTAGGGTCTTTGTTCTCCTTCAGGTTGATTTAATCATGTATATCCTCGTCCTAATGTCAGAGGCCTCCTTATCACATCATGATCCCCTCCACTCACTACTGAATTGGTTTGTGCGTGTGTGTGTGTGCGTGTGTGTGTGTACGAGGACAGAGTTCAATAAGATAACATTTGGTGGACCACCTGCCAGGAAGCTCAATTTGCTAAATACAAAGTATCATCTAACCAGTCCCTGTGTGTGTGTGTGTGTGTGTGTGTGTGTGTGTGTGTGTGTGTGTGTGTGTGTGTGTGTGTGTGTGTGTGTGTGTGTGTGTGTGTGTGTGTGTGTGTGTGTGTGTGCGTGCGTGCGTGCGTGCGTGCGTGCGTGCATGTGTGTGTGTGTGTTGGTTTGACATTTACCTGAACAACCGAGGTGCAAAAGTATTTGATTACTGACAATGTTAAACGACAAACACTATGAGGAAGAAAGAAGCGCAAAACATGCAAGCTGGGATTGTTTTAGTAGATTGCACAGACATCTGTAAAAACAACCTCTCATATATCTTTATGCTTGGCGTACACAAGAAGATTTCAATCTTTCTGATTTAACAGAACGCCGGACAGAATAGCCATAAAAACACATTTAACAGATTTTCAATATTTGAATCGTACGAAAGAACACACATGACGGATGATTCAGTCAAGAGATGTTCCTTGATCAAACGTGATTTCACAAATATAAAACATAGAGGCAACGTTTTATAGTCTCAAACACAGCCAGTGCAAGCTATTGCTCAATACTCTATAGCTGTTTTTAGCACTACAGGATTTACAATTCAAAATCTGCAAAATAATCCCCTGGTGGGGGGCCAGCACAAGAGTTTAGTAGAAACCTCCATATATCCTGAATGTACTTCGAAAACAGTAACTGAAACGTATACCAGTTTATAAAAACTCCATCCAACCAGTCCTTTTTTAAAGCTGGAGGGTCTATGACATGTCACTTTTGCTTATCATTAGTCCAGAGCCAGGAGGAAAGGTTTTACTATTGGAGTGGACATTAACAAGTTCTGCTACCAGCTCACTGCCTCATAACCCGCAGGAGAGGGGTGTCGACATCATTAGCTTTAACTAGCTAAACTAATATAAACTCAAAGGGTGGTTCACACACAGAAATAGAGACGAAGACAGGTAGGGACCACACATTATTATATTCTTGTGTCCATGGATAAAATACATCTGAGGCATAAGAAAATAACTAAACTTCAAGTTCTTATCATAAGATGTACATGCATTTACAATGTGTTTTTGCCCGTGCCTCAAAACCAGAAGAATTTTAATTGTCTGAGACAAAGGAGGATTTCATTTTTTCCCAGGGCATCTATCTTTCACTCCTTCGCTCTCTTTTTTCACCCTCCTTTCTTCCATGAAACAATAAAATCGTCTGGCCTCTAAGTTATGGAGAGCGTTTGAAGTGGCTGGAGGAGCCAGTAAATTTAGTGAGCACCTTAGGGAGCTTGTTCAGCGGTGCAGTGGCTGCAACTATATTTCATGTGTGCATGTGCACGTGCCTGTGTGAGTGTGTGTGTTTTCAAGTGTGCTTAAAAGTGTCCTGGCTGAGCCTGTGTGACAAAATATGCTTAGATTTGGAGTGTGCACGTGTGTGTGTAAATGTTCATGTGGCTCTCTATTTCATAGTCACACTGATTTGTGACCGTCTACATTAAGGTTTCCCAAAGACGCTGTAAATTATGCTGGACAAACTGAATCACAGATAGATACGCATGCATGTGTTCATGTATGAGGTGTGTGAATAAACTTGTATGAGTCCTTTGTATGTATGTAAAATGACTGATTTGCTGGCCTAAAAATGTTTGGACACTTTAAAAAAAATGGAAAATTTAAAATTCAGTGAACAGTTCAAACTTTTTCGCCACAAATCTTAAATCTGCATTGCAAGCATATAATGACACTTACTAGCTAGTGAAAAAGTATTAGCTCCATAATGTAAAATGTGCAAAATACATATCACATGTATTCTTTGTGGTCCATGTAAGTCTAGAAGACTTAACACAAACACAACACAAGGAGCAGAACCTGTAGTTTTTGTCACCATACCCTTTTTGACTAGCTTTGTGACTCAGGGGCCACGACCAATTTTAGACTGGTGACTTGATCCTTTCCATACATCCCTCCATAACCCTTCAAGGCCAAGTCATACAGGAGTTATAGCACCACCAAAACCTTCTGCCTCACTTTCTAGACATTGATACTGCAGCTCCATATAGCTCTGAACACCACAGCGCAAAAGCCCGCTCTTAGTTTTGAGATATCGCACTCCTAGCTAAACAAGCAATTTGCTAAAGCTTTAAGTGAACAAAGTGTCAGGTGGCGGTTCGTGAACGCCCATCAACAACAACATGAAAGTTAAGCAACCCAACACAGTCACAGAAACTCAGGTCAGTTCAGCAATAATTGTTCTAACAATTATAGCCGTGATTTGATCTAATTCTAAAAACAAATCAAGAGGCTCTGCAATTAATCTTCATCCACACACCAAGAGGCCTATTTTTTTTTACCAAGTTTGAAGTTCATTGTCTTGCTCAACTGCACTCCAGCAAGGACATATGGTTACTGTGGTTTAATGACCATTTGACCTTTGCTTGGCTCCATCAAACTGCAACTTGAACTACGTTATCTACATCCTCCCCATAACCACTCTTCACCTGCACCGCTCATCCTCCATAATCTTAACCTGAATGCTGATTTGGAAGATATGTTCTTTCCCAGTATACTAATGTATTAAAATGCTTCTTTTAAGCAATGAATTTAATTTCAATGTACACCTATTTGCATTAGCATCCCTATGTAGTCATTATGATATCACAAGGCATGTATGACACTTAATAACAAATGCAGCAATTCAAGTAAGCAAAACACAAGGCGGAAATATGAAGACAGAAAAAAATAATATGCAGAAGGAGGAAAATTACATCTTATTGTATATACTGTAACCCTGCTCTTTCTGCATCTCTTTCTGTCTCTCAGTTTTCCTAGACACCTGTGCAGGTCTAGTGTTTCAGCCAAGTCCCTGAAAAATGAATGCGGAGCTCCAATCTCTTAATCCACTCGGCTCCACGCAGCCATGTCACATGACACCGCCACGGCCGCCCTGATGCCCAGACAACATTGGAGGGAACATTTGTTTTGTGTGTGTATGTGTGTGTGTATGTGTGTAGGTGTGTGTGTGTAGGTGTGTGTGTGTGTGTGTGTGTGTGTGTGTGTGTGTGTGTGTGTGTGTATGTGTGTAGGTGTGTATGTGTAGGTGTGTGTATGTGTGTGTGTGTCCTAGCATTACTATACTTGTGGGGACCTACCTACATCTGTTTACACAGTCACGTGTGGGGACTCGCCTCCCTTAGGGGGACAAAATGGAGGTCCCCATGAGGGGAATCATTCATTTTAGGGTGAAGACTTGGTTAGGTTTAGGGTTAGGGTAAGGTTAAGGGTAAGAGCAAGGGTTAGGCATGTGTTGGTTATGGTTACAGTTAGGATAAGTCTCCAGGAAATGCATGTAAGTCAATGTAATGTCCCCTGAAGTGATGTATACATGGTATGTGTGTGTGTGTGTGTGTGTCTTTGGGACTGAGAGAGTAAAAGAAAGAGAAAGCAACAAGACAGTACACAAGAGCGGGTGTTAACTGATGCTCTGTTTGCATGTTGTTTATATGTCCTATTTGCATGTGTCTGTTTGATTGTATGCCTACTGTACGCTGTGTATTTTAAATAAACGTGGTGTTGGGAAAGGGGAGGCAGACATGTATTTTTTTATTTAAATCAAGGTCCACATTCAGTCTGTGTGTGTGTGTGTGTTTTGTGTGTGTGTTTTGGGATGATACCCTATCCACAGCAATCAGTCTGACCTCCACTCTGGAGTGAACCGCTCTCAATGATTAATGGATCTGCCTCCGTGCTCGGTTGCCAAGGCAACCGAAACCCGATAGCCCTTAGGAATTCGCTAGCTCGCCCCTCAAAGTTTGTGTGTGTGTGTGTGTTGCTAGGCTGTGGGTGGTAGACAGAGTGAGGCTCTTTGGAAAGATGGAGTTGGTTTGGGTAAAGGTGGGATAGGAGGAGGAAGAGAGGTCTGATTCAGTTAATAAAACAAGGCAGAGACATTTCCAGTTGTTAATTGTTTTCTTTGCTCTAGTCTATATTATGCATTTTAATGTTGGGTAATTTCAGTGCTATGTCCAGAACCCTTTATCTTAAATAATAATTACTGTCTGAGGCCATTACTATCATAGTGTCTTCTTCTAGGAGTTTCCTTCTTCCTCCTTCATTCCTACCAAACTGATATGGTTTCATTAACACTATTCACTAGTCAGAGCTCTATATTTCATCTAGAATATACTTTTAATACCAAACCAAATCAAAATGAGTAGTTTTTAATGGGTATGTGAATGTGTGTCCATGTGTTGATACTGTCTGAATAAGATCCAAGAAGAGTAGAATCTTGAGTGAGACCCTTTGTCTTAACCCGCTGATGAGTAAATCCATGTTAACAAGATGGCAGCTCTTAAATTGAAGTGCTGCTGCCAAGCCTGTGGACTGTATGCTTGACAGACCAACTTAACACTATGATTTTATTTTCTAAGGGCCACTTAACACTTTATTGATCTGTAGACAATTGTCAAGGAGAGACTCTGAGGCATGAACTCAATTGCACGACACAGATAGTGTTCTCAAAAAATAAAGACTTTACTGGAATTTTGCACAGTAATCAAAACAAGGAAAACAAATATACTCTTTCGAGGAAAACTAGCAAGTGATCAATGAGGTAGATCCGTGGGAAGTCCGTGAGGTAATCAGGAATGTGGGTCATAGTAAGACAACGAACTGACAATGAACAGGAGGAAGCTACCACAATATATACACAGGTAAAGGGGACACAGGTGGAAACAATCAGGGCGGGGAAAACAATCAAGGACGCAGGAGACAGAAGGGGGCGGGGAGCGTGGAGGCCTGAAATGAGAGGGATGATTAATTAAGGGAATAAACATAAAGCACAGGGCAAAGGGACATGACAAAACTAACATAAAGAATACACTTTCACTATTAGTTTCCTAGACATGACAGTACCCTCCCTTCTAGGGACGGCTCCTGACGGCCCAGGCTCCTCTGAGTTGAGGCGGTCAAAATCCTCAATGAGGCTTTTATCTATGACGAAGCGGGAAGGAATCCATATCCGCTCCTCAGGACCATAACCCTTCCAGTCAACCAGTAGCTGTCGCCCTGTACCCCTTTTCCGACTAGCCAATATCTTCTTGACGGTGTAAACCGGATCTCCATCAATCATCCGGGGGGGCGGGGGGGGGTTTGGCGGTGGGAACCATAGCGCTCTCCTTCAAGGGTTTTAGTTTCCCTACATGGAAGGTGGGATGTACCTTCATGGACCTGGGAAGCCGTAGTCTCACTGAAACTGGGTTGATGACCTTGGTGACGGGAAAAGGACCCACAAACCGGGGAGCCAATTTACGGGAGAGTACGTGGAGGGGAAGGTCTCGTGTAGAAAGCCAGACTTTTTGGCCTGGCTGGTATACAGGAGCTGGTCGGCGTTTTCGGTCTGCTGCTCTTTTCACCAGTTGTGAATTCCTGCAGAGGATCTTCCTAGCCGCAGCCCACACGCACCGACAACGCCTGACCAGCGCGTGGGCAGACGGGACCATGACCTCCCTCTCCGTGGCTGGGAACAGTGGCGGCTGGTAGCCATAAACACAGTGAAATGGGGACAGGCCCGTGGCAGAAGTAGGGAGGATGTTGTGCGCATACTCAACCCAGGTGAGGTGCTCGCTCCAGGAGGATGGATTCTGGGACACCAAGCAGCGCAAACAGGTCTCCAGTTCTTGATTTAGGCGCTCTGTCTGGCCGTTAGACTCCGGATGGTATCCTGACGAGAGACTGACCGTGGCACCGATGAGGCGGCAGAACTCCTTCCAGAAGCGTGACACAAACTGGAGACCCCGGTCGGAGACAATATCCTTTGGGAAACCATGAAGCCGAAACACATTATGCATCATGACCTCAGCCGTTTCCTTCGCTGAGGGCATCTTGGGCAAAGCAATGAAATGTGTCATTTTAGAAAAACGGTCCACTACCGTAAGAACTGTGGTTTTACCTCTAGAGAGGGGCAGGCCAGTGACGAAGTCCATGGAGATCTCTGACCAGGGTCTGTTGGGAATAGGGAGTGGTTGTAATAGTCCTATTCGCGCCCTGGAAGAGGTCTTGTTTCGAGCGCAGACAGGGCACGCCTCCACATACTCCTTCACCTCCTTCTCCATGGATGTCCACCAGAAACGTTGTTTTATGATGAACATAGTTCTCTTGACTCCAGGGTGACAGGTGAGCAGCGAAGTGTGAGCCCAGTGGATCACCTGTGGTCGCTCGGCCTCCTGAACGAAAAGCCGGTTAGGCGGGCAACCCCTTGGTGCAGGAGCTCCAGCATTGGCTCGTATTACCTCCTTCTCTACTGACCAAGTCAGCGCTCCTACCACCCGGTTTAATGGGATGATGGGTTCCGGCTCCTTGACTGCAGGCACAGGGTCAAAAAGACGGGACAGAGCGTCAGGCTTGACATTCTGAGACCCCGGCCTGAAGGAAAGAACAAAGTCAAAACGATTGAAAAACAAGGTCCACCTAGCCTGGCGGGAGTTCAGTCTTTTGGCCTTTCTTATATATTCCAAGTTTTTGTGATCGGTCCAAACCACGAAAGGATGCTCGGCTCCCTCCAACCAATGCCTCCACTCTTCCAGTGCCAGCTTCACGGCCAGCAACTCACGGTTTCCCACGCCGTAATTTCTCTCTGCTGGGGAGAGCTTCCTGGACAGGAAAGCGCAGGGGTGAAGTTTGTTGTCCTTCTGTAGTCGCTGGGAGAGGACCGCTCCCACCCCTTCGTTGGAGGCATCCACTTCTACCACAAACTGACGAGTGGTGTCCGGCAAGGTGAGTATGGGAGCAGAGGTGAACATTCCTTTAAGCCGAGAAAAAGCCTCCTCAGCCTGAGGAGACCACAAAAAAGGCACTTGAGGGGACGTGAGGACATGAAGAGGGGCTGCAATAGCACTGAACCTCCGCACAAAACGTCTGTAAAAATTTGCAAAGCCTAAAAACTGCTGCACTTTCTTACGAGAGTCAGGGGTAGGCCAACAAGCTACTGCGCTAACCTTCTCTGGGTCCATCCTAACCTGACCTGGCGAAATGATGAAGCCCAAGAAAGTGACTGTCTCTACATGGAATTTGCATTTTTCTGCTTTGACAAACAACCTATTCTTGAGCAGCTCTTGTAGAACCTGGCGGACATGTTGTTTATGGGTGTCAAGGTCAGGGGAGTAGATCAGAATGTCGTCCAGATATACAAAAACGAAACGGTTCAGAAACTCCCTCAACACGTCGTTGATCATAGCCTGGAACACAGCAGGAGCGTTTGATAATCCAAATGGCATTACACGGTATTCATAGTGGCCTGAAGGGGTGTTGAAACCCGTCTTCCATTCATGACCCTCCCTGATCCTGACTAAATGATAAGCATTACGCAGGTCTAACTTGGTGAAAACCTTGGCTCCCTGAAGCTGCTCGAAGGCTGACGAGATGAGAGGAAGGGGGTACTGGTTTTTAACCGTAATGTCATTGAGATGCGAGTAGTCAATACAGGGCCTAAGAGACCCATCCTTTTTCCCAACAAAAAAAAACCCCGCTCCTGCTGGTGATGAGGAAGGGCGAATAAGGCCTGTTTTGAGGGAGGCATCAATATAGTCCTTCATGGCCTCTTTCTCAGGTCCTGAAATAGCATATAGTCGACCCTTAGGAATTGTAGACCCAGCAATCAGGTCGATAGCACAGTCATAGGGGCGGTGAGGCGGAAGAGTCAGAGCCTTGGATTTACTGAATACTTCACTTAAATCGTGGTAGCAGGAAGGGACTGAAAGAGCATCAGGAAAATATATTTCTGGGATAGTTCCCTGCCTAACCCTCCCAGTGTTACCTCTTCTGTCAATCTCCACTACCTGCTTAACACAGTGATCTCTGCAATTCTTTCCCCACCCCTCCACCCTCCCAGATTGCCAATCAATGTGAGGGTTATGAAGTTTCAACCAGGGAAACCCCAAAATGAGTGGATGTTGGGCTGAATTAAACAAGTGAAATGACATTGTCTCGTGATGGTTATCATCACATCTT